GGTCACTATGGTAACGGTGTCGCTCTGTTACAGACGATGACGGATGACCGGTATGAAGTCCGGTCGTGTGTCTCTGAGGCAGCGATCCGGGTCTGCAGCACCAAAGATCCCAGACTGACCCTGAAGATCACCCTGACCTCGCTCGCCATGAGGGAGGAAGAGGAAGATGATGAAGGTACTCACTCGTTTCTCCATCTGATCACATCGAGGACGAACTGGAACATGGGAGGTGAAACCTGAGCCCAGAGGCTCGGAGCGCTGAAAGCTGAGAGGCGGTGGATCTGGGTCAGCAGCAGCTGGACAGACGGAGGATTTCCTGACAGGGTGGATGGGAAAGCGAGCCGCCCGTCTCCGGTGGCAACGCGTTCGGGACCGGAGCTCACAGGCTGCTGTCCGTTTTAAACCCGGTCTGAGGCGGCGGTGGGAAACGGCAGGAAGCTGTCAGCCTGCCGTCACTCGGCCTCTCTGATCTGCAGCGCTCTCTGAAGTTCTGGCGTTCCAGAACGACGAGCCCGCTCCGGGTTTCTGCTCCCAGCAGGAATGTTTGGGACTTTCACAGAACAGAGAAACGATCCCTGCCAAACGGCTTCAGAGCGCTCTGTCGAGTGAAAACATCCAGGAAAGCAGCATTGTTCCTCGTTCAGGTCCGTTGTCCTGACAACAAGAAAACACCTGAACTCAGGTTTAATATTCTGCTGGTAAATATGAGCAGAAACGACTGATTACAACGTTTCACACATTTAAAAACATCAAAGCAGAGAAACTGTCTCTGGTTTATAACAGATCCAGGATCAAATGACTCTGAAGATGTTTGAAAAGCATTAAAATAAACTTTTCTTTATTCCTTTTCATTCCAAAGGTCCATGTGGAGTCATGGCCTCTCAACAGAAACATAAATAACTGCTGTGCTGAAAGTTTATGGTTAGATTGATATGGAGTGAAATTAAATGTTAAACTAAATGACTTCAGTTCCCCTCTTCACCGTCTGAGTTGCTATAGTTTCCCATGACTCCAAAACCATCCTAAGCATGGGTCAGAGGTCACGACGAGCCGTACGGTGTCCTGTGAGGTTGTTTTTACAGGTCAGGTGATGAAGGGCAGTTTGTGACCCAGATGATGAAAACAGAAACATTTACTGTGATCCAGAGCAACGCAGTGATTGTTCAGTTTGTCTCTCTGCTCACCTGAAGCTGCAGATTATGAAAACTTTCCTTCATCACAAACTGGAAACGGAGCTCATCATTTCCTCCCAGCCGACGTTTGGCTTTTATCTGAAGGTTTTCATGATTTTATCTGAACTTTATTACTTCCAGTCAGCTGCTGTCGCTAAACGAAGGTGGAAATTACAATCCAAAGGAATGTTGATATTGTTTTATTGTAAATAAATTCATTTTTATTTCTAAAACTGTTAAAGAGGACGAGTTCAGGTGGACTGTTCAGCTGGGTTATGTCAGTAGATCCACATTCGTTTCTGCATTTCACTCGGCAACGTTCTGCAGAACGACTTGGCTGCATTAGAGATTTTAAATCTTAAAATATTTAGAACAAATCTTCCACATCAGCAGCCTGGCTCTGTGATGGTAGGCGGCGGTATCATGCTGTGGGTCCCAGAACAGAACATGACGATAACAACCTCATAGTTGCCAGTTTTAGTCTGTTATCTGGCTCTTTGTTGCCATGTTCTCATTTTATCCTTCAGTAGCTGATAACAGTCTAATCTTCAGTGATTCATGCCTTCATCCTCTCATCTGCAGTAAAGCTTCATGTTGTCACGTCTCCTTCTCTTGACAGTCTTACAAATCTTTCTGCTTCGTGTGTGACAGAACAAGCCCCCCTCCCCTACCTGTTGCTCATTAGACCAGATCACAGGGTTGACCCAATATATTTTTGGTAACACTTTATTTGAAGGGGTGTCCATAAGACTGACATGACACTGTCATTAACATGAAGGAGTCTTTATGACAGTTGTCATTCGGTAAATAATGACACTTTTAATGCAAAGTTGCTCTAAAAATCCATTAAAATATCAACTTTGTCAACAATGGTGTCATGTCAGTCTTATGCACACCCCTCCAAATAAAGTGTTACCATATTTGTAAACTCTCCGTTCTTCTTCCTGTTTGCTTTTCCAGAGGAAGTCGATCGGGAGGAAGGCAAGCCGAGGCGTGAGGAGGAGGAGGAGGAGGAAGATGCCCTAGACAGGCTGAAGTGCCAGGCGGCGCTGGCGGCGCTCCGACACGCCAAGTGGTTCCAGGTGAGCTCAGCAGGTTCTGAGAGGAATGATCAGAGTAAAGACCCGGTTCCAGTGAATCGTCTCTCTGCAGGCGTTGACATGACGACCTGCTGCTGATTCCTCTGATCCACCGTCACGTCGTGTTTTGTTCTCTTGATACGATGAAGGTTTTAGTCCCTGGTTGCTGGTTTTCTCCCAGGAAGATCGTTTTTACCAGTATGATCCTCGCAGGTCATACGCAGGGGTGATTGACAGCACTAAGCCCCTCCTTCTGGCTCTTGAAGTCAGAAGGAGGGTCTTCAAGAGTCACAAGATGTGCGTTTTAACCAGAAGCAGTGCATTTTGACCACATTTTGACCTGAAGCGGTGCGTTTTGACCACGTTTTGACCTGAAGCGGTGCGTTTTGACCACGTTTTGACCTGAAGCGGTGCGTTTTTGCGTATGGTAACCTAGTCAAGGGACAGGCCCTTTTGACCATCTAGATTATAAAATACTAACACTTTCTAAATTTATCAAGTTGTTTTTGTTGGATTAAAATTTAAAAAAGGTTATCATTGCTCTTATAAACAATTACCCTATTGCAGGGTCAATAGGTCAGAGGTCACGGGGTCTCAACTCAAAATTGAATCAAACAAGATGAGTGAGGTTTGATCTGGTTGACGGTTTGATTCCCTCTGAATCTGCTCCAGTTACACTGACTAAGCCTCCAGCTCGCGGCCGTCAGCAGCGTGTGGAGCTCCAGAGGTCGTGACCTTTCCTCTCTCTGCTTCCTGTTGAAACACTCCTCACGCCTCCATCTGTCCCTCAGGCCCGGGTCGCCGACCTCAAGTCCTGCCTGGTGGTTCTGCGGGTTCTGAGGGACGTGTGCAACCGCCAGCCGGAGTGGCAGCCTCTTCAAGGATGGGTAGGTGCCGCTCAGCGCAGGAGCTACCAGAGGTCACGACCTCTAAGCCCCTCCGGTGGTCTTATGTGTCTGTGCAGCCGCTGGAGCTGATCTGTGAGAAGGCCGTCGCCACTAGCAACCGGCCGCTGGGTCCAGGGGAAGCGCTGCGCCGGGTCATGGAGTGCGTCGCCTCGGGGATCCTGCTACCAGGTCAGAGGTCATGGGCCATTCCATTCCAGTTTTATTTAGAAAGCACTTTAAAAACAACTTTGCTGTTCGAAGTAACCAGAAATAAAAACAAACGATACAATAACAGCAAAAACCAACAATCTGAGCCGAGCTAAAAGCCAGTTAACTCACTAGTTATCTCACTACTAACTATCTATCTAGATACATGGCTAACATGCTATCTAGTTATCTTTCTATCTGTCTATCTTGCTGTGCTATTTGTATTCTCCTTGGTATATACATCATATAGATGTCATCACTATTTCATTAACAATTCCAGTTAATGAATTTTTGCAATTGTTAGTTTTTTTTCTCCACTGAGAGTAACAATAAAATATAAAATACGATTAACGCCTGAAAAAGAAGTGAAGTTGCTGTGCAGTTTAGTGATATAAATATATAAATCTTTATACGACTGTCTTAACGAATCATATTACAAATTTTTTCAAGATCTGTTTTTTTATTTCAGTGATTCCTGTCAAACAGTCACAGCCACACAGTTACCTAAAACATAAGGAATAAATTATTTTTATGGTCACTTTAGCACCACAAAATATAATAATATAACATAATGATAAAACTTTAAGTCCATATTTTCTATATCAGATAAATAACAGAGATGTTGTAACTGTGAACTGCATCATGTCAATAGAGAAACGGTTCCCTCTCTGCGCCTCAGTTTCTGAATAAAACAGGTTTAATATTGGAAAATCAAATCAAAGTGGGATTAAAAAGCTGCAGAAACACAGAGAGCTGAGATGAGCAGAACGGATCCAGTGGAACCCGCTCCTGGTTCAGTCCGTTTCAGAAACATGAACTGATTCTCCTCCATCTCTGAGAACCGCTGAACGTTTTTCAGCCTGAGCTTCATCCTCAGTCTGCTAAATGTTTCTGCTCAGCTCCAATAAACACAAACGTCCTCTGATGTTTTCTTTCCTCGCCCCGTTTTCTGATCCTCCGTCTGGGAATCCTTCACATCTTTTCATCAGCAGAGAGTTCGACCTTCTGACGACGTGAGCGCTTTGCTAACAGCCGCAGGATTTCATCACCTCTCAATCATTCAGGAGGAGCTTTTTCAGGCTGAATTTCACAGACAGGAGAAGACGGAGTACTAAGGCCAATGTAGACAGAAAAAAGAAGTAAATTTACACAAAACCCCCCAAAAATATGAGTTTCAAAAGTGATAATTTTCGGCTTTTCAAACTCAGAAATTTTTAAGTTTTTTTTTCTACAAAATTTCTGAGATTAGACTCAAAATTTCAGTTTTTTGTAGGAAAGTTTTCACCTTTAAACTAAAACATTTCTACTTTTTTTTCTAGAAAATTTTTGACATTCAAACATTTTTGGTGGAAATTTGCTCCTTTTTTTCCATCTGCAGTGGTTGTAATACACCTTCGTAGAAAACAGAAGACAAGTGTTTTGCTTTCTTATTTTGGGAACGTGTGTGTGTTTTCGTGCCAGGAGGCCCAGGAGTTCACGACCCCTGTGAGCGGGAACCCAGAGACGTTCTGACGCAGCTCAGCGCGCAGGAAGCCGACGCCCTAACGCGCAGCGCCCAGGTGAGTCCCAAACATCCCACATTTCCACGCCGTCCCTGAACCTAGCAGCTCAGACAGCTTAGCATTAGCGTAGCGGCCTAAATTAAAGCATGCTGTTGCTCAAAGGCACTGTGGTAAGGAAGTCTGGAGCGCTTCCTGTTCACTCGGGGCCCCAGACCTCTAAACGAACAGACCCGATCTCACCTCTGCTCCACAGCAGCTCTAACCGGTTCTACAGGAAGCAAAGTGGGTCAGAATTCAACCAGGAGGTGTTTCATTTAAAACGATGCTCTGATCTCCGCTGGAGACGAAGCAATCTGCAGAACTTCTTCACTTCTTTACACCCAGGATCAGTTTTTTATGAGCTCTGACCTGCAGAGCATCATAAAGCCTCTCCTCCTGTCTTCCTGCTGTAAAACTGAGCGCGCTCATTAAGGAGCGTCCCACCGGGTTCGCCTCAGCGCCGCCTGCAGCCGCAGACTCAGCAAGTTCCTCCAGGAAGCAGCTGAGCTCGTTTTAGGAGCAACTTCTCAGTGAAACGTCGGTGAAAACGTTGTTAAAGGTTTAAAAGAGGAGCCACGTTGTGAAGGCAGAGTTTCAGAAAGAGCCGGAGTTTCTTAAAGAGACAGAGGCCCAATTTGAAACCATTAAATTATGTAGTATAAATTTCTAAGTTATACAGCATGTTTTTAACCGAAGTTAAACTTATTGTGCTATAAAATATCACGTTGTGGCTGTAAAACACATAATTCTGCCCCTTTAAATCAAATACGACATTATTTTTGTAGATTTGCTCTCTACTGTTAAAACTGTATTTTTAACATACAAAATTATTCATGTACATCTGAGATTTTTTTCTCACAAAAGCTATAAAATTAAATTCCGTTTTTGTGTTCATTTAAAACTATTATGACAGTATTTAATCAGTAAACTGTGACTCTGCCACACGTTGAAGGTTTTCTGTCCACAGCGTTTATAATGCAGGAAGTTTCCTCAACAGCTGCTCCACCAGCTCCTGGGGTAAAAACAGCCAATCGATCAGAGAGTCACTGGCAGCCGTGCAGCCGGTTCCTGCTCTGTTTGTAACCGTGTTTGTGTGTGTGTGTGTGTGTGTGTGTGTTTCAGCATGCGCTGCGCCTCATTGCATTCGGTCAGCTCTACAAGGTTCTGAACATGGATCCTCTGCCGGCCAGCAAGGCTTCTCCACGGCTGCTGGAAGGTCAGAGTTCAGGAAGACTCCTTCTCCTCTTCTTCCTCTTCCTCCTCCTCCTTCTCCTGCAGCCTGAGTGAAACCTCTCTGTCTGTTTCTGCCTGCAGGCGGCTGCCTGAAGAGGCTCCGGGACGACCCAGGCTGTGAGGACAGAGACTTCACCAAACGGATGAAAGGTGATTTAACTTCCTGGTTTCAGCTCTGAAACATCAGCAGCAGCTGGAAGCAGATCAGATCCAATCAGAGCTTTCAGTTTGTTTTTTATCTTTGGTCCAAAACCTGAGTGAAGCCCCCCCCCCAAGATCAGTTCCCAAAGATCATCATCAATATCTTCAAATCAAAAGCAGCACAAACCAAAGTTTTGCGGCACAATCATAGCTGAGTTGATCAACACAAAATATTTACAGAGTCAAAGGTTGACCTCTGATGATCTGGGAACTTTTTTATGAATATCTTCAAAATGATAGCAGCACAAATTGAAATTTTTAATGAACAAACGCAGCACAAACATTTGAGACCAGTTTTCTTAGATGTGGGTAAAGTGTTGGGGGCTGGTTGACCTTTTAACCTTTAAACTTTCATTAACATCTTCAAAGCAAAAGCAGCACAAAAGAAAATTTTTGCCGCACCAACCAGTACAAAGGTAGTTTAGTTTATTGACACCAATTTTATCTGATTTGATGAAAGTGGGGGGCTGGTAGACCCGTCATAATAATAATAATAATAATAATAATAATGTTGGTACAACGCAGCGCTGCTGTGTGATGTTTCTGCTGGTCGCTTTGGGGTCGTAGATTGTTCATAAGGAAGTTTGTTTCCGGTTGCATTTCATTGGTAACTTGAACAACCAACCAAAAAAACATTATGTTTAAGAAACTGATATGTGGATGTAGCCAGAGATTTGTTTCTCTCTGTCCTCGTTTGAAGATCCCAATATTTGAAACAATCTCCCTGAGATGGAAAAAGACAAAATGTTGAACATAAAAGCAGAATGTTGTGAGAAGCAGCAGATTACTGAGAGACAGCCGGAGCGCAGAGTCTGATAGCAGCAGATAAATGGGTATCGACCGAAGACTTGTGAAGTCAGAGAGCTCCTCTGTTCAGTGTGTGTGTGTGTGTGTGTGTGTGTGTGTGTGTGTGTATCTAAACACCCGCTGATGTTGAACAGGCTTTGTGTAAAAGGTGAGAAAGTGACTCAGTGGAACTGAAAGCGTTGAGGCTGTGAACTTTCCTTAGAAACCAGGCGGCTCCAAACAGCCTGCAGGGTTTCATCAGAGAGAAACTCCAGTCTTCATTAATCTGAACGTCAGTTTACCAACTCTGAACCCTGAACCACAGAGCTCCATGAAGCCAGACTGTTCCTGGACTGTTCCTGGATTGCCCCTGGATTCTTCCTGGATTGCTCCTGGATTCTTCCTGGATTGCTCCTGGACTGCTCCTGGATTGTTCCAGGATTGATGGAGGAAGTTGCTCCTGGACGTTTCTGGCTGAAATAATTTTTTTCATATTTAATGAGATTCAAACAGTGATATTGATGACCAGCTCCTGGTAGCTGGATTTTCAGAGTCGTTAACGTCTCACATAGTCCTGCTCCCTCCTCCGTCTCCCTCCAACCTTTCTGGATGTTCTTGGACATCCCAATCGTCTCCTGAATACCCAGAATCTGGACGCTCCACCTTTAAAGGTCCAGTATCTTGTGTTTTCCAGGCACATAGTACCATAGTACCACAATCAAGGAACTATATTACCATCACTTATTATAAAAATGTTATATGTCAAATATGACATTCGGGAAGTCATGATAAAATGGCTCCTCCATTAACCCTTTAACTACATTTTTACCAGCGTTGCTGTGAGCAGCAGCTCCTGTAATGAGCTCAGCAGATCAGGTGTTTGCTAATTGCTGCTGGCTAGTCTGAAGGAGCTGAGTGGGGGAGGCTGCTTGTGAGGCTGAAGCTTGGAAACTGTAGGCCTGAGGAGGAGCTGCGCCTCGAAGGCGGGACTAGGTCCATCCAGGCATTTTTCACAGCTTGAATGGTTGCCATGGAGATAAAAGGATTTTTCAGACATGCATGAAAGAATCAAGTTTTTGATGAGGCAATAACATTAAAACATGATGAAAAGATGAAGTGTATTTTACATGACACTTCCCCTTTAAAATCTGAATATTTGAAACATTTATTGATCTGCAGCTGATAGTTACTGTTTATTGGTTGAGGCATTTAAAGGCAGGTTCCTCTTGTTCTGTTTGATGTTTAGAAATAATCAGCAGCTCTAATCGTCCATTTCACTGGAGAGATCAATCCTGCCGGCTGCAGCATCACAATTATCTCACTGCTTCCTTCAACAGTCAGTCAGGGCATTAACACCCCCCACTACTCCGTCACCCCCCGAAAAACCCATCAGCACCTTCACCTCCATCCTCTTCCTCTCCATCTGTCTCCATCCGCACTCTTCAGGACAAACCTGCTGCTCCCATCACTCTCTGTTACTCAACCTTTTGACAGAGGACAGCTTATAATTTTGATAAATATCAACTGTAAATTTGTCATCATTTTTAAAGAACCGTCATTTTATTTCTGTTTTCCAAAAAAAAAAAAAGTCAAGAACGATGAAAACATCTCTTTCAAAAATATAAAAAATATATTTTCTCCTGATGTTTATTTGTGGCAAATGTGGGGAAAAAGCAAATAAATCCAACCTAATGAAGAAAATCAGATCTGGATACATATTATTGGCACTTTTAGTTTCAAAATTTAATACATTTACACAAAAAATACTTTTGAAACCTGCATTTATTATACACAAAAACATCAGGTTTTTTTAAATAATATTCAGCCATTAAAATCCTGCATTACAAAAGAAGACATGATTTTTGAATAATCAGGCTAAACTAGTCGAGTTCAGCATGTCGGTATTAGCTCCGCTGGAAATAATATTTCTCTGGATTCAGATGACAAATAAAACAAAATCCTCCCTAAATCAATAAACAGCACCAGTTGCTCCTCCAAGCTTTTCCATCCTGGCATCCTGTTAACTCACACTTGTGCACCGACACACTGGTAAAAAAAAAAAACTACTTTGCTTACAGATTTAACTGTGTATAAATGTTGTTTGTCACTTTTGCCTGAATAAAAACAGAACTGTCATGGTTCTGGGATTAAAGTGGTCGACACGTTCAGAGCCATAAACACTCCAACATTTCCACCAGAGCAGCCGCTAAACGTCTGCTGCTTCAGGATCAGAAACCCCTCTGAGGATTGATTGCTTCTGTCTGGTGCTGCAGAAAACGTCCCACAGGTGGGATCCAGACCTGGCAACACTCAGGATCCCATCCATCCACTGGACCCGGCTTTGTTTCTTTCCTCTCTGCTGGAGTTTTATTGTTGAACCTTAACACAACTGTTTGTTTTTCCTGTCTAAAAATACAAAATTCAGGGGTTTTATTTCTGTCTTTAATGAATTCTCACTTGAATAATCTGCTGTAAGTCTGTTAAAAAACATTTGTTTCTGTTGGATTATAATCTGAATTGGACCGTTTTGTTTAATAACTGATAAAAATCTCAGCACTCACAGATTAAATCTGACAGGCAGAACCGGCATCAGTTTGATTTTGTAAGAAAATATTTTTTATTTGGTTTAATTTCCTCCTAAATATTCAGAAATGTTTCATGTTTTTTGAGCGATCTTTGGGTTTAATGTCTGAGTCTTTGTTTCTGTAGTTCTGGACTGGAGGATGACCGACCCGAACCATCCCATGAACGCTCTGATGCGTCTGAACCAGATCCATCCGGGCCTTCAGTACCGCCTGCTGTGTCAGTCGGGTCCGGTCCACGCTCCGGTCTTCACCATGTCTGTAGAGATCCAGGGAACCACGTACCAGGCCAGCGGGAACTCCAAGAGGACGGCCAAGCTGCAGGTGGCCCTGAAGGTACGGCCCGGTTCTACAGAACTGATGGTTCTACAGAACCTCTGGTGCTGCCCACACTTCCACTAATTTGCTATCAGCTAACTCTTCGTTTAGTGTTTAAGCTAACTTTGAAAATGTTTGAAAATGAAAGCGTACTTGGCTTTCGGTAATTAAGTTTTTCCAAATAAATTCTAAACTGCTAATTTACTCGTCTGTTTTGTGAACTTCAACGTGTGATGAAGTTTTGGTTATGAACTGTTAAATATTCTCCAAGTTAAACATTTTATTCATGCTCTTATTTTGAAGGAGATGAAGTCTGTTTATGTTGCAGTTCCATTTCTTCACAATTTTTTTGTTTAAAATTTACTTAAAACAAGAAACAAACAGGAACAAAACATAACCATAATTTCAATAACTCAGCATTATAGAATATAGAATTTATGTTCAAATGAAACTGGTTCTGAAAGGTTGCAGTCTGTCAACGGCTTTAGGGTTTAATCTTCCTGTACATAACTGAAGATGATCAGATCTGGAAATTAGATTTTTGCTGCAGATGTTTGGAGGTGTGAATCATGTTTACTGTGAATAATGAATAAGTTGTCAACATAAAATTTGTGATGTTCAATTACAAATTTGATCCTGCTGGGGGCGCTATATTATAATTATTCACACGTCTTTTACATAGGGTGGATATCAACGTGGCTAAAGCTATCGCTCTAGCATTAGCAGAGCTAATGTTTATGACTACTGCTTCAGCGCAGCTAGCTTCTTAGTTAGCGGCTCCCACCACTGCTTAGTGCCTGGCTCAGAGACACTCCGTTCAGACTAGGGCTGAAACGATTCCTCGAATGATTCGAGTACCTCGATTACTAAAATTCCTCGAGGAAAATTTACCTGCCTCGAAG